GCATACCGCGATTCCTACGCGCGAGCAGCGGGCAATCATCCTTCAACTAAGTCAAAAGTGCCCAAAATAGGTAACAAATTCAAAACTATTTCATCCACCCTCAACCTATATCTCCACAAGGTAATTATTCCATAACCCCTAAAACAATTCTTTTAAATTATGCTAATTAACTACAAATTACACCAAAAAAATACCACAAATGGCCGGTCCCTATTCTCCTAATAGGGCCGGCCATATCCCTATAAATAGCTCTCCATTCTCTCAAAAAAACTACTTCCAAGTCTCTTGCAAAACTCTACAAAATTCTCGAAACACTTTTCCCTCAAAATTCTAACTTTGGCATCGGAGGTTCTTCAGCCAAAGCCACTCACCCCCAACCCCTCCCCCACCCCCGCCCCGCGCACACACACACTCATCATGGGTGCGTGAGGCTTTTTGGCCTTGACCAAAGGTGTGATTTGTTTTGTAGGTGCAATTTTGTCCAAGAAGGAGAAGGTGGAAATTTGCATCCACAAATTGGTGCTTTCATTGAGAGTTGAGTCCCACACTCGTAGAAGACTTTCGCATCCAAGGTTTTCTATTTTCTTGTCCATTTGTAGATTTTTCGTACGTTTTTATTATTAGAATTTTTTATTTGTAAAAATTCTTTGATAAAACGTAAAAGAGAAGTACAATGTCTAGAAATTTAGAAAATTCAACAAATGAAAATTTCAACATTCAAGAGATGGGACCACGGCGATTCACGAGGCTAAATGTGACAATAGGTGGAGTGGCACCACCATCACTAGTTTCCACCATGGGAATCACCTCAGTGGCTACCACGTTAGCTACCCGCGGCGAGGTCCATAATGTCACCACCATGGCCCGAGCCATGCCATCCAAGGTGGCTCACAGCACTAAAGCCACGACCCAAGCCATGTCACTCCACGCCCAACACATTGCCAAGGCAAGCCCAAGCCTTGCACTCGCGTGCATCACACGTCAAGTAGCCCACTCTTGTGGCCTAACCTGCTCCCGCTGAGCAGCCCACTCTAGCGACCCAGCCTGCTCCTGCCGAGCAGCGCACTTTCATGGCTCAACCTGCACTCTTGGCCTAGCCCACTCCCGTGGCCCAGCCTACTCCTGCCAAGCAACCCACTTTTGTGGCCCAGCCTGCTCCCGCCGAGCAGCCCACTTTTGTGGCTCAACCTACTTTCATGGCCTAGCCTGCTCTCGTGGCCTAGCCCACTCTCGTGGCCCAGCCTACTCATGTTGGGCAACCCACTTTTGTGGCCTAACCTGTTCTCGCGGCCTAGCCTACTCTCGTGGCCCAGTCAAGCAGCCTACTCTCGTCGCCCAGCCTACTTCCACGGCATTCTAAGAAGCCCAAATCGACTCAAGACTATCTTAACCATCTGGACCAACCATCAAGCCGGGGGCATTTTCACCACATTTTTCCGCGGATTTGACATTTTCCAATTCAAATCTCGAGCCCGGAGCCAACCGCACTTCCACTGCTCAAAGAGGCATATTCCTTCCAAGCTCTTCCAATTCAAATGGTGAACAACACTTGTCTCGACAAGTCATAAAGTTGACAAGCGCCCGAAGAAGGACAAGGGCAGACGAACCTCCCCACTAACGTCCCAGCAAGCAGCCACTTGACCAGTCACAAATCGAGCATTTTAACGGAGTACACTCCTGACTGAACCCTTAAGATAGCGTATACTCCTGTCTTAGCGCGTGGAAGAGCGTGCACTCTTAGTTAGGCCCACGGACAAACATACACCTCACGGTTGGGGCCACACTCCAATAATCAACATGAGCAACCTTCCAGGTGAAGTGTTCATTCGCGGCAAAGCCTGCAAGGAACATCTTTCACCTCACATCGGATAAGGCAGCACAGCGGACGAAGAAAAGTGGTCACTCAATCCGGCTCAAGTTCAACCAGCAGCCTACGAGTTACTCACTCGCCTGCTAGGAACATACCGCACCCACTACAGCTGCAACATAGACGAGCTGATCACATGGAAGAGCAACCTAGATCAGTATGTCACGACTGAGGGCAGTCGAGAGCTCTACCACCCCCAACAAAGGCAAATTCAGGAAGAAGTAGGAAGGCTCATAACCAAGCGATTGCGCAATTTCCCGCGCAACGGAGCTATTGACAAGGCGCTCCGATGAGACATGACCAACATAAGCGAGTCATCTTTCAATGACAAGATCAAGCAGACGAGACTACCCCACATAGATTGCTGGATATTAAGACTACTTATGTTTCGACAAATGTAACAGCTCAGCCTCATGGCATGTCGGGGGCAGACGAGTACCAGAATAACACACCAACCCAACTACTAAGAATCAGGGGCATGCTAAGGATTATCTCAATTGTCCCAGCAGTCCAGCTTTCCTCAGCTATACTCACGACAATGATTTCCATGTTCTCTAGTGCGAGAGGGTAAACCAATTCCCCGATACCCAAAAGGGTCTGCTCTCTAGCGCGAGAGGATAAACTAATTGCTCTCCAGTGTGAGAGGGTAAACCAATTCCCCAACACCCAAAAGGGTCTGCTCTCTATGGCGAGAGGTTAAACTAATTGCTCTCCAGTGCGAAAGGGTAAACCAATTCCCTGACACCCCTATAGGTCTGCTCTCTAGTGCAAAAGGGTAAACCAATTCCCTGACACCCATATGAGTTTGCTCTCCAGTGCGAGAAGATAAACTAATTGTTCTCCAGTGCGAGAGGGTAAACTAAATCCCCGATATCCATCTAGGTAAGCTCTCCAGTGCGAGAAGGCCACATAGCTTAAAAGATTGAATGCTTGAAGATCAACTAGGCAACAAATGGTTAGGGGCAGCAGCCACTTCTACACTTAACAGTTCGCTCATCCGACACTTCATCTTCAGCAACTCCGATCTTGGCAGCTCAATCCTTGACTGCTTCATCTACGGCAGCTAAGAAATCAAACTCAAACAGTTTTCTCATTTTTGGCAAGCAGCCCAAACCGTTGCCCATGCCACGCCATTTCCTCAGACTATACCAACCAATCCTTGGCTTCAATCAAGCCGAGCAGCACAAGCAATGACCCCTGCCAAACCACCTCCTTAGCCTATACCAAGCCTACTCCTAGCCCCTACCAGTTAACGTGTCGCACCACCCTTACGGCTGCCCCGCAACAGCACTATCCACGAAGAAGACAAGAAAAATGAAAATTTTCTCACATCAATAAGGCACAGAGAAAACGAAGAAAGCAACGAAAGATGGTCCTTTGGACGGGCAAGATGTAGAAGATTGCTAGAAGAAAGGGAACAAATATCATTTAAGCTCTCTCTCTTTTGTAGGGTAGAATAAAACGCTCTTCAAAGTTGATTTAATAACCCACTTAAGGTGGACTTAAATAAGCTTTGACAGAAATTTATTTCCCTTTCCTAGAAGGATCTAATTTCCTATTAAAGAGGGAATCTACATCTAAATAGGTAGCAATCCAAAGTTTCCTAAAGCAAGAAAATCTCTACACTTATTGCCCTTTTCTACGAGCAGCCCACCAGGTGTGGGGACATTTGTGGAGCCAAAAATAATCACAAGGCGACACATGGATTTTTGGATAGAAGAGGACAAAAATACCCTTGAGGCATACCGAGATTCCTACGCTCGAGCAGCGGGCAATCATCCCTTAACCAAGTCAAAAGTGCCCAAAATAGGCAACAAATTCAAAACCATTTCATCCACCCTCATCCTATATTCTCCACAAGGTAATTATGCCATAACCGCCAAAACATTTCTTTTAAATTATGTTAATTAGTCAATTAATGGATTTATTACCTAATTAATCTATTAATGGCTAATTAACTACAAATTACACCCAAAAATACAACAAATGGCCGGTCCCTATTCTCCTAATAGGGTCGGCCATATCCCTATAAATAGCTCTCCATTCTCTCAAAAAACTACTTCCAAGTCTCTTGCAAAACTCTACAAAATTCTCCAAACACACTTCCCCCAAAACTCTACAAAATTCTCCAAACACTCTTCCCGCAAAGCACCCCCCCCCCCAACACCCCAAATTCATCATGACCGTGTGAAGCTTTTTGGCCTTGACCTATTTTGTAAGTGCAATTTTGTCCAAAAAGGAAAATGCGGAAATTTGAATCCATAGTACCCAATCCACGTTTATCATGCAAATGATCATTTTGTTTAATAACACTCGATCTCTACTTTATACAATAATTACTGTTGATCATTTCCATTTTCATTTCACTATCTGAATTTTCCCCTAGTTTGAATTAGTGTCTCAGAGAAAAGGGACACCTGATCAGACTATTGGTCTTTTTGCTGAATGTCAAACTGTAGCTAGGGTTACAAGAAGCTTGGTAATGCTTTCTTCTTGGCAAAAAGGTAACCCTCCATTTACTAATTTGGGTGTAAGTAACAAGAAAAAGCTGCAACTAGGGTTCAACTTTATTTCTCAATTGTACATTTTCAAACCCTAGGTTCGGCAATTTGCTGTACAATTTTACCCATAATCTTAATTGCACCAATAAATCAAACCTACTCATACTTTCTAATAATTTTGTGTCCATGAGATTTGAATTTATTAGGATAAATTATACAAAACTACTTCAACAAGAGTCAAACCACAATCTCATATCTCAACTTATGAATTCATTGAAATGTCATACCTTCGTTAATTTTTCTATCGATTTGGATGTTAAATGATGATGTGGCAGGTACGGGGCCCATTCCTTCGCCACATCATCATTTAATATCCAAATTATTATTTTTATTAATTTTTTATTATAAATTATTAAAGGGAATTGTTATTAACATTCCAAAATTTTCATTTGGTACTCCAAACTTTTTATAATTATAAAGAAAACTACACTTGTAAGGAGTGTAGAATGAGATTTTTGAAGTGTTAATAACAATTCCTTTATTAAATTTTTAATAATAAATAATTTTTTTTTTTCAATTGACGATGGAGTGAGCTCCGCCATCATCATTTAACAGCCAAAATGACAAAAAACGAACCAAATAATTTGCAGCTACATTTGAAATGTCACCGTGTGCATGAAGACCTCATATACCCTTTTTAACTTTCTTCCGAAATACAAAAAGCCTGAAAATGTCGTCAAGTTGAGGGTTTAGCTAACGAGGGAGACTCACTCTGCAAGGGAGATGGGAATGCCTCAGTTATAGAATCCCAAGAAATGTTCTGGTTTTTCGTTCGCCTTCTTCCCAAGAAGGCGGGTTTCATAGGTGTTCCGACCATTTCAACTTTGCATGTTAACATTACTACAACCTCCGACATCGGGGGTCTCAGGTTGGGGTGCGGCTGAAGGCAGAAGAAGGCGACTTGGATTGCTTGCAAGACATCCCTTTCCACATATCCATCTTCTTTCATATTTGGATCTATCAGATCAATCACATTCGACGTCTCAAACAATTTCCATGCCTACAATTTTAAGGCAAAGGGTCAGTGGCAAGATTGAAAACTATATATTAGCAGAATGATCGTAAGCTTCTGTACGAGTAAGCAGTAATCAAAGATAGATCGGCCTACATATTCAGGGAGGTATTGCATATCTGATGATAAAGTGAGATCTGTGTTTTTTCTACCGCTGATTATTTCGAGCACAAGAACTCCAAAACTATAGATGTCCGCCTTTTCAGATAATTCTCCTCTAATAGCATACTCAGGTGCCGTATATCCTCTGAAGAACAATTCATATTAGGTACTATAGTTTCATAAATAAGTCATCGATTAGATGGCATATGCATTACGGAATCTTGAACATTTATACAGAACGTGCCATCTAATCAATGATTGATGAAGGGGTCTTGTGGAAATATCATATCAGTTGAAGGACTTACAAAGTTCCAGCAAATGTAGTGCTGAGATAAGCTTGGTCTTCAGGGAAGAACCTAGCCAGCCCGAAATCTCCAATTTTCGGTTGGAATTTGTCGTCGAGAAGAATGTTGCTTGCCTTGATATCTCTGTGGATAATTCTTAGGGGGGAATCCTCATGTAGATATTGTAACCCTCGAGCAATACCGACAATTATCGGGAACCTGGTGCTCCAGCTCAAGAACTGATCACTCTTTCCTGTTTTCCATCAAGAATAATTATAAGTAACATATACACTGAAAGTTTAATGATTCTTTGCACCGGTCGAAGTGTTAAGTTCGTGTGCTCAGTTTAACTCATTTTGTCATAAGAATTAGAACTTGGAACAAGTCCGCATCATAGTTGGATAGAATGCAAAGCGCATAGTGAAGATGTACTACCATAAATAATGAGGTCCAAGCTCCTGTTCTTCATGTATTCATACACAAGAAGCCGTTGTGGCCCATCAGAGCAGCATCCAATAAGACGAATCAAGTTCCTGTGTTGGACGCTTGTGATCAACTTTACCTCTGTAAGAAACTCTGATTCTCCTTGTTGGGATTTGTCAAGGCACAATTTCTTAGCAGCAATTAACGTCCCATCTCCTAATCTCCCCTAAACAAAAAGATACAAATAAGACTTGGAAATAAAGGAATCAACCCATATGTGCCTCAAATCCGAAGAGTATTTTCAATTCAACTTATATCTGTGCTCTTGCAGTCTTGCCGCCTGCACTACTCTGGATTGAGTGTTTTAGAAACCTTATGAGTTCAATGAAACTATATGTAGTACGTTGTGGTTTGAATGAATGCCTCAAACTTGCATGTTCGAGAAAATAAAAAAGTACGACCAATGTTGGTTTCGTGGATTCAGTTATCATACCCGATAGACAGGGCCAAATCCACCTACTCCAAGGAGATTACCAGGATGAAAGTTCTTGGTTGCCTTCTTCAATGTCTTAAAATCGAAGTAGCTTATTGTTCGAAGCATCCCACTGAAAACATCTGTCGATGCTGCATTGAGAATACAGAATATTATGATTGAGGTCTTACTAAAATATTGGTTAGTTATTTTTTAGATTAATCTATAGTACAACCTGCAGGCCGCCTTCTCACTACTGCTACCAATTTCTTAGTATCTTCTGGTTTGATTTTTTTCCAAAAGACAAAGAGAAGAACTAGCAATATTATGAGCGTGACTAGCCCTCCAAGGAAAAAGAACAGCACTGGAGACTGCGACTTAGAAGCAGGGGGACCCGTTGTCATAGAGGATACTGAAGAAATCTCTGCAACCAAATGTAGTGTTAAACATATTTTTAGTCATTTAGGGTCCTTGAATTGAAAAAACATGCGCTTATAAGGAACAAATGATGGGACAACGCGATTGAATCATTCTAGTGCGTGGATCTGTGCATGTAACACAAGTCTCTTGAGGCAACTTCATATATATATGTAATATCTTTATTCACAATTAGCCATTGCAATCAAAGAAAAATAAAATAACACACTCAACTATCACAAATTCTGGTGATCTGATGCCGTTGGTGGGTTAACTAGATATACGAAACTGTTTGTTGGCATGAGTATGTGGAATTGCTTGCAGCACAAGGTTTCATCAAGGAGAAGCTTGAGAGGCGTATAACAACTGACATCCGAATAGCCATTCAGTCTAATATTTCGTATATAATATCATCAAAACTGAAGAATTTGTGAATCTTTATTTAGTCTAATGAGAACGAATACACAGGGCTACACTTCACAGTCAAAACAATTATCTTCCAACTGTTGCAAATCGACAAACACGAGAAGCGTGGCCTGTATACGGAGAACAAGTTGGAGAACATATCCATACAACAACAAATGAACATGGTCTTTACAATTTTATCACAACAATTAATTAAGTTACATCAGATATAATTTTAAGGTACTGAAGAACATTGTTTTTCCAGTGAAGCAATCGTCACGTACCTTTTAGTCCTCGGGCTGTCATTGTGTATACCTTGAAGCTCCAAGGGGTCTAAGCCGAAGCTGCAGCGGACAACAATGCAAATGTGGTGATGGTGTTGCTTGCAGCTTAACAACGGCAGTGACTACCACCATCCATTCTTCTCGTTCGATCTCTTTCCATCTTCCTTGTTTGTTTCGTGTTCTTTTTCTTTTTCTCGCTTTGGCAAACCCGCTGTTGGGGAGAGAGAGAGAGAGAGATGAAGAGAGAGAATATAAAAGAGTAACATAAGAGTAATCGAAGGAATGGAATTTCGGACATTACGATATGTGGCTTTTTGGTCACTTTCTTCCATTCCAAACGACAACCTCAATGATTTAAAATAACACACTCGTAAGTATTCACTCAGAATAATGATAATAATAATAAGATCAACATGCTATTCCAAAGTGGTAACTCTGTGTAAAATCATCAGAAATTGGGGAGGTACTATCCTAATTGAATTTCCTATCATGGCGTATTTTAGTGCCGGAGGAACTTTTTCTTTTCCCTTTTTTTTTTTTTTTAATAACTCCGTATATGTTAGCAAAAATAAGAGAAGTTATAAGTTGGAATAATTTCAATATTCACGTGTTTGTGAACCCTGAAAAACATAAAAATAATAATGATTTCACTTTTCTTTCAAACTAAATATGTCATAAATTGATTTCACCAAACATGTTATACTCTTTGGATATGACTCAAGTTAAGCCTCTACTAAAAGATATGTTACCTTAATCAACACGTCCTCCTCTCGTACAGCTAGAGAATTCATTCAAATTGCAAAAAGACATGTTACTTTAATCAACACGTCCTTCTCTCGTACACCTAGAGAATTAATTCAAATTGCGTATTTAATCAATGGGCGAAAAAGAATTCAAACTTGCAACTTCTTCCAACATTAGGAAGAGAAGTATCACCAGTCTTAAATTCACACCATAAACTTAGTGCCACCTAATTAATAAATAACAATTCATGTGTATAACATTCACAGCTGTTGTATGACAAAGGTAATGACAAGCTGCAAGGGACTAGGAGGATCTATGTAAATATATATACACATAGTAATTTACACGAAAATCTGTATTCACATTTTTTTATAGATACACAGATGTCAAGTGCAAAAGAATTAATATCAATCTGCAAAACAAATAAATAAAAATGCAATGACAATTGTAAGACGGCCTTAACAATACGAACGGATTTAACTCAAACTTCCAGTGAAATGATAGTATGATAGGTGTGTTGCCATGTCATGGTGTGCGAAAAACCTTCATGGCTACCTCCCACCACTAAATCAAGGTTTTATGAACTTGGAAAATGTTTTCATCCCTTCATAACGATTCTGCCATGTCGTTCCTTGAAGGCTTGAACCCTGTTAACTGAGGATTTGTTTGCTCGTGTTTCCTGGAGCACCAAAATAACAACTTTAGACGTCAACTCATTAGGGAATAATTGCACTAGAAAACTACTTCTCTCCTTTTTATCGTTTTTAATGAAGAAGATACGACTTTGTAGAGGAAATTGGAATGTTAAATGCCTTTTAGGGACGCATAGTTGTGGAATTTATCCTTCATACAGCATAATTAATATATTTAGCACTTGAGACAAGGGTTTCCCTGACACTACATCCTTTAACAGACTTCAAATTTGCAAGTTTTTGTGATATCTGTATGAATCGTATAAATAGGTAACAGCATATGAAGAATCGATACCTTGTTCCGAACTGCCCTTTTGTTGTGAATTTCATGACTGCTTGGAAGACGATGGATAAAATGTTTTCTCCATATGAGACGGGCATATTCTGGATGATCAACAAAAGGATTTCTATTGTGTTGATAAAACTTGCATACTCTTTCATTTCTCAACTTCTCTTCTCTTGAAGGTGGATCAATATCATTCCACTTTAACAATGTAGAAAGCAGCCCCATCTCACCGGTTGCTGTCGCATGCACCCAAAAAGTTCACGCTATCAAGGTCCATGCTCAAAACAGGTACAAATTCTTAGTTCCCAACAAATAAAACAATATATGCATGCAAGAATGAGCTCACAAAACCAAATATAAACTGCATTTCTGCCCCACGTTTAGCCACAACACCTCTTAATTCTCATATAAAATGGATTGTGCTTACATGGCAACAGAGATGCAACACTAAAATCGAATTTGATCTCAAACTAGTCAAAGATTATTTTTCCAATTATACTTACAAATTTTTGGAGAATCTGAAAGGCGAAGAGCTGGGCCTCCACCTGGTTGATGAAACCCATAACACACCGCCATGTACATCAGTGCCCTAGCAACATCTCCTCTATGCTAGAAGAAATAAATCAAGTTACAGCCAAAAATCAAGGGTTCAGTCTTCAATGCCAAGCTAGAACTAGAAGCCTAGAACCTCAGTCAAACACTCCGTTCGATCAAGGAGACAACGGATCCACACTTCAAAAGGAACTACACCATTTGGCCATTCCCATATCAATAAGAACTCTGAATACCAAAAACAATTTTACACAATTGCAGAACAATAACAGAAATAAAAGTAATGTAACAAGATATATATTTTATATGTGGGTACCAGAATATTATAATCCTTGCTACCCGAATAGACCTCTCTTAATGTAACAGGATATATTTCTATGATGACCAGAATACTAGAATCCTTGCAACCATTGATAAGCCTTCTTTCAAACCTAAACTCCTAAATGACGGTACCAGAATACTAGAATCCTTGCTACCATGAATATGCCTCCTCTCAACCCTCGACTGCTAAGGCATGCATGGGTACAACATCCAAATTTACAACTTGTGTGGCACATGCTGCGTGCATTGTGAGAGATTAATACCCTGTTTGATACCAGTACCACTGCTTCTGGTATCTTCAGAATTTTCTTCTACTTGTGAAAGGACCCTCGGAACTTTAATAAAATCCAAATATGTGGGTTTTACTTTTGATTCTGCTTACTCAAAGTTTCATCCTGCCATATTATTATTTGTGTTTTTTTTTTCTTGATCTCTTCTCATTTCATAAATTTCCAACATTCGATGGTAAACAATATGGTTTTAACAACTTTAATCAGATTAAAATATATGATACATATTTACGTGCTGGCACAGGAACATGAAAAGAATTATGATATGCCAAAATATAGCTAAAATACCTGTTTAGGTGGTGCCCATCTGTCCTTGTCAGTTTCCGTGTCCAAAGCGGCTTCTTTGTTTGCTGGCTTCAAACATTTAGCTGAGTTATCCGTGCATTCTCCATAGTATTTGTTCCCCCTGGATGCATTGACTGCAGGAAACTTCAACTATTTTACATCAAAACACAAGAGATCTGATTTTTCACAATACATACAGGCAGTGGCCCATCTTACCATTCACATCTGCTGGGCGAATGTTGTGTATATCTGTCAAAGACGCACCATCTTTTAACCCATAAGAACGAGGCCATAGATGCTCCCCTAGAAAACAGAAACATTAACATTTAATTTCTTCCAAACAGAAAGTAGAAAATAGAGCTTGGAGATTGATATATTTTGCAGAGCAAAAATAGGCAACTGTGTATAATAAAGGGTCAAGCATTGGAACAAAAAAAAAAAAAACAACTTGACAGAAGGCTGACAAAAAAGAAACACTGCAAACGAACAAAAATTCATTTCATTTGAACATGTCAGTATGTCTACGTAATCAAAGGATGTAACCAGTATCTAGACAGAGATTATGAGCCAAAATTGTGCTACCTTAAACTTCTTTTAGTTAGAGTAGTCAATGTAACATGTACAATTGTTACACCTTTCACTAATTTTTCTATTTGAAGTTTAAACATTAAAACAATAAATTTCTCACGTTTCTAAGTATATCTGTCCTGGAAACACAAAGACCATAGAAGAGCAAACTACTAAAGGTGGAGCTGCAGCAAATCTATTACCATAACCATAGACCATTAGAATGCAAGAAACCAACATCAAAATCATACATGCTGCAGAAAGTCTGGTTAATTGACTCACTATTCCATCCTTCGGGTTTCCCAGCTAAAGACTTGGGTACAACCCTCAAGGAGTAAACTTCAACTCTGCATAAAAGAGTCGGTAGGCGAATTGGTAAGAGTTGCAGGGTACATTTGATAGTACAAAAAACAATGCAGGAAGCAGTATTCAGTATATACATTCCCAACGAAGCTTCTGGGTTATCAACATCCGAAGCATCAAGAATCTTGAGAGCATTCCACACCTATTTCCACAAAAATCGAAGATCTGGAATCATATATTTTATTTTATTTTTTGAACAAACGATATTATCTTCACTGAGAGGGAGAGGGTGGGCTTAGCCTCACAATAGGCTAGCAACAATGTGGTTCAAACTCGCCTGGAAGCATCAAGAATACCTTTAAACCGTGATACTAAGTGGCTAAAATCTAGAATCATATTCGATTTTACTTAAACGTAGCAATACAACAGGAGCAATAGTGAATGCTGATTGCTAAATACCTCTCTGTAGGATAAAGATTGGTGCCTGGAAATAATGGAATTCAATTTTTTCTTCAGCGATTTGCCCTCTAAATTCTCCACACTGTCATAATAATTGCTAACATCTTCACAACCATACATAAAAGAAGGAGATGGATTATCAAATGCCACAGCATCAGCAACAACATTGAGAAACAACAAATAAAAAGAGATGATCTGAGAAACCCATCTCCAAGAAACACTGATGCATTTTCTGTAATTCCATCTGCACCCAGAAAGAATGCAACAATTACCCAATTACCCCACTACCATCTTAAACTTTATCAGCAACCCAGAATTGAAATACCGAAAAAGGTCAGAGCTTGGAGGTTACTGACCTTGTAGAAATGGGGGAAGTGATTGGATAGACCAAATTATTATCTGGGTTGCGATAGTTGCAAGCTAATTGGAATGAGGTTTTGAAGTGCTCGTGGTGGCTGCGGGAGAAGGTGGCGCTCTGCTTACGGACGGCGGTGCTGTCGACGACAGATTTTGTGCAATGGAATTTGGTGGCCACCACAACGGGATGCTGCATTCTATCGGTTTAGAATTTGGATACCCGCCACAACCGGTGTTGAGTCAAGCCAACTGGTTCATTTTCTACTAGGTTAATTACGCATACACGTAACACACCTGATTTCCGTTTTTCACAAAATCCTTTTAACATAAGTTTAATTACACTAGAACACCGTGACGTTTATTGAGTTTTCTAGAGAGTTTTATTATACGAATTGTTATTAGCATTCTAAAAATCTCATTTTACATTCCAAACTTTCCATATTTGAAAAGAAAAATATACTTATGAGGAGTGTAAAATAAGATTTTTGAAGTACCAATAACATCTCCTTTTATTATTTATATTGAAGAAAACAGATTTCATTTTTATTTTTTTATTAATAATCCTACATTGCACCAAATGCTACATTAAATTAGTCCAAATTAGTCTAGTCTACGCTAGTCTAACTTAGTTAGAAATCTAGTCCAGTGCAACAAACGCACCCTAAGACTTTCCGAATAAGACCTTATAGCTTCATACCTTTCTGTGATAAGTATGAGCATAATATTTGCATGATCTATCATGCACCTACGAATTAAAAACAATGAACATCAATGTTCAGTGTTTTGGGCATTTAAAGGATAAATAACTCATCAATTATACAATTTAGTAAGAATCTTGAATGATTTGACTTAGGGGTGGGCAAACGGGTATAGGAACCACGGGTCGGGATGGGTAATCAAGGTTCGGGGTGGGTACGGGCCGATTCCTAATTTTTAAAAAGTGAAATGGGGCAGGGCGGGTGGAGGCAAGGCTTTGAAATTTTAAGTTCAGGCCGGTTCCAAAAGTATAGAAAAACGGGTACCCGAACCGGCCCGTTCATAATTGCAATGGACGGACGAGATCGAAGAGGAACCTAGTTTCAAATTTGAACCGCTCGTTTTAGGGTTTTACCCTAGGACTAGGTCTCCTCCTCAAGCTCGACTCTTAGCTCTGTTACTGGTCCTCGAACTCAGACTTGATTCTCTCATCGTCTCACCTCGTCGTCTCCTCCACCACCCCTAGCTCGACTTTGTCACTGGGCCAAGGTCTCCTCAAGCTCGACTCTGCCAATGCCTAGACCAATGAAGGTTGGTTCTAATTTAGTTATTAGCGTCTAAACATGTTCAAATTAATCACAGATATAGGTACTAATAGGTTGTATGAGAGTGTGTTTGTCTGATTGAGTGGTAGAATCGTCAGTCTATGTTTCTAGCTCTGGGATTTCACCCTGCAAAACGAAGCTGTCTACTTCGGTGGGATTTCACATATATGGGTACTAATCATTTATGGGTTTTGCTATAAATTTTTTTTTTTTTTTGTATTACTTTATTTTTATGTTTTAATTTTTTTTGTTTTTGGTGCAAATCTATAGGCATTTTTGGGGGTGTATGATGGACATGGTGAGAAGAGGGCTGCAAATTTTGTTGCTGAGAATTTGCACAATAATATTGTTGAAATGATGGAAATGCATACGAAAATTGAGTAGGCAAGGAAACAATGTGGGTTTTCGTGGGAAGGTGAGGAGTTGGGGAGTTTGGTGTTTTGCGGAGCAGGGGATTAGCATATGGGTTACAGTCTAGAGGATTTGCTCAAGGCGTTGGCGCAAACGCTGGGGGGGGGACTGAAAAGGATGACGAAGACCCGTGGGGACCCATAGGAACCAGCCCATTTCAACGGTTCGGGTTAGGTCCGGATCCCATTTTGAAAAATCCAACACCTGCCCCGTTTTATTTACGAACTGGTCGGGTCCAGTTCCTTCAATTTTGGGCCCCGGCCGGCCCGTGCCCACCCCTAATTTGACTCTTTTAATTTTAGTCTCATACTAGACAGGGTAAAAATCTATATGAAATATTGGAGGAAACTAATAATGTCATGTCATGTAAGAAATCTTAATATGTTCTCGTATGGTTTTTCTTTATACAGATATAAGTAAAAGTGAAGCCCATTTTTGTGCCTTCAATTTTGGTCTTGGTATGGAGAAATTATTTGGTGAGGAAATTAAATAATTTGTTATATATTTTGTCAGGAAAATTTTAAAATTAAATATATTTTTGATGAAAATTATATAATTTTCCATAGAGAGAACAACAACGATTGCAAGGGAGGTGGGTTCGGCGACGAGATTTTAGTTAAGTTGATATATCAAGAGATGTTGCAAGTAATCCGAATTCATTATCATGGAGCAAAAAATAATCAAGAGGCAACACGTAGATTTTTGGATGAAAATGATAAAATTACCCTCGAGGCATACCGAAAATTCTACACGCGAGCAGCAGGCAATTATCCCTCAATCAAGTCAAAAAGTGCCCAAAATAGGTATTTATTTATAACCTATTTCATCAATCCTCATCAAATCTTTGTCTTGGGTGTTGTAGGGTTGGAAGGGCCTCGGTTTGGTGGAGATTTACGGGGTTCTATGGGTACCTGAGTACGGCGGAGCGCCATTTGTCCTGGGTGTTGTTGGCTACATTAAGTCAGCAATGTTCACTCCCATGGTTGTGTGTGTGAGATTTTAATGAGGTCTTGAGTGCTTTGAAACAACTTGGAAAGGCAGGATGGAAGGAAAGTCGGATGCATGGATTTCGTGAAGTGGTGCACGATTGCAAGTTGGTGGATTTGGGGTTTGTTGGCAGTGAGTACACATAGACTGATAATAAGGAAGATGAGGTGCGATGCCGTCTAGATCATGCGCTTGCTACACAATCTTGGATCAGTTTGTTTCCGCATTCTCAGGTTTGCGACCTTAACCCCTCCAAATCGGATCATTTACCTATTATGGTGGAAATTTGAGACTCGATTGGTGGAGTTCCTAAGAAGTCTTGTCGATTCAAATTTGAGGAAATGTGGTTTCTTGAAGTTAGTTATAAGGAAACCATAGCGGCTGTGTGGAATGTGCATCGAAGATCGATGTCACTAGTGCGTATCTGTGACAAGATTAAGGCCACTAAGGTGGCCTTACTCGAATGGTAGCGCTCTACCTTTAAGAACACTAAATTGGAGATCACGAAGGTTAGGGACAAATTGTGTGTGTGTGATTCGGGCATCCTCCATCACCAGACCATATTGAACGACAATGAATGCTGATGCATGAGCTTGATAATTTACTTGGCCGAGAAGAAACTTATTGGAGGATGCGGACCCTACCGCATCCTCCAATAAGGAAGGAGATCGGAATTCGAGGTTTTTTCCATACTCGTGCTTCAAATAAACGATGGAAGAATATAATAAAGAGGTTACGAGGGGATGATGGGGTGTCGTATGACTCACGGGAGAGGATAGAAGACACGGTGGTGAGTTATTTTTGGAGGATTTTTAAGACGCAGGGAGTTCGTAATAATGCATTACAAGAGGTATTGGAGGTGGTTTCACATCGTGTTACCCCGGAGATGAACGAGCTGCTATTACAACCGTATTCCACAGAGGAAATTAGAGTGGCGGTGTTCCAAATGCACCTATCTAAATCACCAAGGTCAAATGGTATGTCCCCGCTATTCTATTAACGGTTTTGGCATGTTGTTGGGCCGGATGTAGTGGACACAGTTTGGTCCATTTTGCAGTTGGGGCATTTAGGCAAGGAAATTTGCTTTACACATATGGTGTTGGTCCCTAAAGTCAATGAGCCACAAGATATGTCTCACCTTCGTCCCATTAGTTTATGTAATGTGATTTATAAAATTGGAGCCAAGGTGATTGCAAATTGCCTTAAGGGTATGGCCACGATTATCTCACCAAATCAGAGTGCATTTATGCCTGGAAGGTTAATTTCTGATAACTCATTGGTGGCGGCGGAGATTAGGCATTTCTTGCACAACAAGTTGAGTGGTAGGGATGGGTTTTTTGCTCTTAAACTTGATTTTAGTAAAGCGTATGATCGGGTTGAATGGAGATTCCTTGAAGTTATGATGGAGAAGATGGGATTTGCTAGCGAGTGGATTAAGATGAGGATGACTTATGTTACATTTGTGTCGTACTCTTTCTTGATCAATGATTAGCCGTGTGGTTATGTGTTGCCATCCTAGGGACTCCGGCAAGGAGATCCCTTGTCTTTGTATTTATTTCTCTTATGTGTGGAAGGATTGTCGGCGCTTGTTGCAAATAATGAGCAAGATGGGGCATTGAGTGGCATTTGACTTTGTGGGGTTGCACTTACGATTCATCATCTTTTGTTTGCGGATGATAGTTTTCTTTTCGGTAAAGCAAATGTGGATAAGTGTGCCGTGATACAACAAATCCTAGATATATACTCTCAAGCATCGGGACAATCAGTAAATTTTGGTAAGAGTAGTGTCGCTTTTAGTGCAAATGTGACTCCGTATAATCAAGAAACGCTAGCAGGTTTTCTAGGGGTTTTATTGGTAGAGCGGCATAAGAGATACTGTCGACTTGTGTGGGGAAGAATAAAAAGCAAACGTTTTTGTATATTAAGGAGATAGTGGCACAAAGATTAAATGGGTGGAAGAGTAAACTTCTAAGTTATGCAGGGAATGAACTCATTATAAAGGTAGTTGCCCAATCTCTCCCTACTTATGTGATGAATTGGTTTTTTCTCCCGAGGACTTTTTGTGATTAGTTACATCAGCTTATGGCATGGTTTTGATGGGGGAATGGTTTGGAAGATTGGAAAAATCATTGGCAGTCATGGGATAAGATGTGTAAGCCCAAAAGTGAAGGTGGGTTGGGATTCCGTGATCTCTATGTGTTTAATATGGCGGTGTTGGCAAAGCAAGGGTGGAGGGTCTTTTACTATCCCTTGTCTTTGATTGCACAAATCTTCAAGGCAAGATATTTCCCGAACTCTTCTTTTAGGGAAGCGAAGGCAACCACATAGTCTTCATATTGCAAGCAAAGTCTTGTTAAGGCTCGAGAAGTGTTGGTAAAGGGTTCGAGGTAGATGGTGGATGATGATTGGTAGATACGAGTTTAGATGGATAGGTGGTTGCATTGGCCTAGCACTTTTAAGGTCTTCCCAGCGCTTACTCCAGAACAAGTTCACATGAAGGTTGATGAGTTGATTGATACCTCCACAAGGGTGTGGTGTACCGATTTGTTATCAGAATTTTTTGGCCTAAAAGAGGTATCTTT